AGAGACAATTCAACCCATATTATCCACACCCATTAAAAAAAAAAAAAAAAAACTCCTAGTACAGAATTTCAAATAATATTAAAACCAAGAATTGCCAATAAAAGCTAGACGGAAAATTATAGAAAGTCCATCTGAAGAAAAGTCCATTTTCCTTGTTTTTTTTTTTGTAAATTCCATTTTCCTTGCTTTATATGATTGGCAGAACACAAAATTTTCCATGTGCCAATAGTAAATGGTCGTCCTTTGATTCAAAGCCTGAGAGATAACAACAGGAAAATTTAACTTCTTCTAAAATCAATTGTACAGCATTTTTTATATATCTTCACAAATATATGCACATTCCTTAAGATGGACTACAACATAATGGAATAGCCTCAGCTACCCAATAATAACATACAACCAAGGGATTTGAATGTGCGAAAAAAAAAAACAAAGAATAAATAAATAAGTAAATAAAATAAATTAAAATTAACTATCCCCAACTTCTCAAATCAAAACCCTAGCCTAATTTCAAGAACACCAAACGATACATGGGTATGGCGAGGGTAGTGGTGAGAGAAAGATGAGGGTTGCAAAATAAAAAATAAAAATAAATAAGTAAATAAAATATAAAATTCATAAATCAAACCTGATACACGCTCAAACTCTACTAGTGGTGAACCCCAAAATGTGTGGACTGAGGGCAAGACGAAAACGAAGCCTGACGGTGGTTCTTCGACCGCGTTGAGTTGATTGGTTCTCCGGTGAGATTAAGTATGAAATAAGCGAACCAAGCTTGACTAGTTTTCAGACCAGAACAACGGCGAGGAGGGAGATCAGCTTACTGGTAGAGTTCGAAGCTATAAAACAAGAAAATAGCTTCGGTGCACAGGGATTAGATGGCAAGAGAAGAGAAAGGAAAATATAAACTAGGGTTCTGAGCGAGACGATGATGAAAAAGAGACCAGCTCTGAAAATTGCTTTGCTGAGCGTTGTGTGAGACTACGAGGGGAAATGAATTATTTTTAAAAAGAGCAAGCCCTTTATTTGGTCAATAAAAAGTAAATGAGATATGACTAAAGCAGGATAAGTCATATCGCCACTCTATGAGCAGTCCCCTTTTTACTACCTGCTGTTCAATTTCTCAGAGGTGCATTAATGGTTGGGATCAGCTTCTGCAATCTCTATTCAGCTAATTTAATGATTGAAACTAGTAAAAAAAATCCAATTGTGTGCAGCTCATTGGTCAAGAAGAAGATGATTTGAGGAAGAGAAGAAAAATAAATAAATAAATAAAATTAATAATAAAAATTCTGACATTATCAGATTTAAAATAATTTAATAAATTAGGTAAAAATAGAATTGATTGAATATAATTGGGCTGGTAGAATAAGCATGGCCCAATTTATTTCATTCAATGGTTGTAGTGTTTTATTTTATTTGGGCCTAATTGATAGAAACTCAATGCACAAGCACTTTTATTCACCGTAAAAAAAAAAAATTTGGGCTCATCAAGTTAAAAGATCCCGCTATTCAACACTTCTACTTCCTACCCAAAAATTCTACCTCACTGTAAAATAATTATGTTAACCTTCAGATAAAAACAAAATATAAAATATAAAATAAAATAAATTAAATTAAATTAAAAATATAATTACTAACACAGTGTGTGACGATAGTCACTCTATTATACATATATAATTTATTTTTATATGGACGGTAAACAGAACAAACATTAACAAAACTTATGACACCCTCTCAGCTAAACTATCCTTTTTTCAAAAGTCAGCACTTAGTGCACAAATTTTTTTATCAAGGCACGTGCAATTTACTGGGCCAAGAACTGAAAAAAATAAAATAAAAAATTAACAGAGGTAGCTCACACTTACCCCAAACTTAGTGATTTGCACACTCTCAAAGTCACTCATAGCAATTCTGGACCATTTTAACTCGTCAGTCAACTCCCTCTTTTTTTATTTCACAGAACAATTCTCATTGGTTTTAAGAAGACAACACTAACATATGACAGTGGAAAAAATATTAGACTCCTACGTAGCATGTACACCACAACAAGTTGAAAATTACTCATAAATTTAAAACTAAACATATCAACAGTTACACACACTAAACTAACCTAAGCTACAACATCTACAAGTACATATACTAACTAACTAATCAATTAAACTCCTTTTTTATTTCACCCAGCATCTAGTAAAGAAATGAAAATCTTCTCTTTATTCACATGCCTTGTCCAGTAGTGCTTCAGCCATTTAACCTTACTTGGAAATAATTTGATTCTTATCTTCAAATTTAGAACAATTTGTCCTGTATCCAACCATTTGATTATTTTCTTTTGAATCAAATCTTTCAAGAGTGGATTGTCTGGTTTAGTCTCTATATGATTGAAGCTGCCTTCTTCTAAGTTGGTATTTTCTCTATTTAAAAACACATGATCATTAACAAGATGATCCCAAACAGAAATAGCAGAACAATTATTAGAATCCTCATCCATGACCTTCAAGACATTAAAAGTCATCTTTTCCTTATTAACTCCCATGGTTAATTCTCCTGTTTTAAATTCAATTATAGCATCCTCTTTAACTAAGAATGGCCTATCCAACATAATAGGCACATCCTTGTCAGCTTCAAAATCAACTATTATGAAATTTGTAAGAAAAATAAACCTATAAATTTGCACTGATTTGTTCTCTAATTTTCCATCATGGTGTGCAAGTGACTTATCTAATAATGCACTTGAAATTAAAGAAGAACCTGGATTTTGCAATTTGGGTGGCAAATTGTTGGAGAAACAATGCTCTTGTTGCTGCTCTTGGAGTCTTTGAGGAAACTGGATCTGTCTTGCCTTTGATTTAGGTTGATGAGCCTAATGTTGTGCATAGGCTTGTCTAATCCATTTGATTTCAATGCTGCCCTTAATGGTTCAGCAGTGTTTTCCTCTTCTTTTTCTTCTTCTTGATGTGAAGTTTGAATGGTCGATGGTTCGGTTGAAGGTGCATCTTCCTCTTGTTTCCCTTCCTTCTCCATTAATTTTCTCATAGTAGATGGCCTTATAACAGGCTCAAGTTGATCAACTTCTCTGCCATTCCTCAATTGGAGAGTCTTACTAGCTTCCATTCCTTCCACTCTTAGTATCTGAGTGTCATTTGGTAGTGCCTCCAATGATTTGCTACTAAGGGAAGAAACAAGTTGTCCCATTTGTCTCTCAAGGCTCTTCAAGATAGCTCCATGACTTTGAAGCATAGCTTCATGGTTTTGTAGCATTTGATTCATCCACTGCTCATTTGGAGGTTGAGCTTCTGCAACATGTTGCTCTAGCTGTTCAACAAAAAGAGACTGCACAAAACAAGGTGAGTAAGGTTCATCCGGTTCAAATGACTGTTGCCATCCATGATAAGGCTGCTGATATAGGTAACTTTGGCCTTGATTTTGGGCAAAATTACATTCTTGGTTCAGCCATCCTTGCTGATCAAATTGGTTGGGGTTGTTGTAATTGTAGTTGAAGCCACCCACATAACGAACAGATGTTGGGTTGCTGGGACATTCTTCAAAGGCATGAGCACCATAGCAAAGTGAGCATATAGGTGCTATAGCAACTATTGGAGTAGGTGCTGGTTGCTTGGATTCTTCCGTAACCATGACCAAATCCTTTATTGTGTTATGCAAAGCTGCGAGTTGAGCTGCCAATGCCATTGTGATCCCCCTGTAGAGTGTTTAACAACCAAACTTTTTTTTTTTTTTTTTTTTTTAGATTTGGCAGAATGCTAAGTGTATCAATCTGTTTTCATAGTAAAAAATTATTGATCTGCAAAATCTACAAGGAAAATGTAAGTTCAAGAAAAATTAAAAATGAAAATGAAAGAGAACCAATTCAAGAACTAAAAGATAGAATTTTAAAAAGAAACTAAATCAAACACCGTTCCCCGGCAACGGCGCCATTTTGTTGGGTAGTATTTTTCTCAAAAGAAAGAGTTATCGTTCTCAGGGAACAGGTTGTTTAGTTTTCCTTTTTTAATTCCTATTTCTAATTTCTTGAAATTAAGTGATCAATCTTTTAAAACTAAGAAAATTCTAAATCAAACAAGGTATTTATCAAACTTGCATTAAACAAAATTTAACAGAGAGATATCTAATCACAAATGTAACAATTATAAGGTTCTGGAATTCTTTGAATCATGGATGAAGGAAAAATTTCGCATTCCTGCGTTTTATAACTGCTACGGCACTTTAGTATCAGAATTCGAATTACTATGGCTATTTTATCTGAAACTTCCCAGTTCCAGATTTTAATCTTTAGAAGGATCTTTTCCCAAAGTCTTCTAAATCTTTAAAAATTATATCAAAGACCTCCTTGGATTATCCCTAACCTCAAGGGTTCAATTAACAAGGGACATAACCTGATTTCCCAATCATAGCTATGCTAAAATTATTCAAGACCCATTCCCATGGTGTTCTTGAACTTAAAATCAAAATCTTGTTAATCAAATGAAACTAAAGCAAACCATCACAGTATTCAGAAAAATAAAAGATCACCCAATCATCGTGAATCCCAGAAAGGAAAAGATCAGAAACCCATATTCAAAAATATTACAAATCTAAAAGTAAAGAAACATGCATCACAAACATTCATGAAAGAAAACTCAAAGTAAAGTTACAAACCGGTTCTTCAAGAGTCAAAGTTCCTAAACTAGAGCTAGGAAGAAAAAGATCAGAAATGTGAAAACAGGAGCTCGTATGCAGATCCGTGGTTCCTTTCCTTGAAGTTGCGTTGTCAATGCACTTCGAGATCAAGAATTGAAGAACATGCACCAGCTTTCAAGACAAACACTCAGATTCGAAGAGAGAAAATACAAAATTCTAAACGTAAACTGAAACTAAAAGTACGGTATCTGACCCTAAATGACTCAGACTTCTATTTAACTAAAAACTAAAAAGCTGCCTCAAAATGCATTGCTGTCCATCCATCTCTTTGTCCATCCAATGGTTCAGATTTGATCTTGCTTTCAAAAAGTTGATCTTGCTTTCAAACTGCAGTAAAAATAATAAAAGAGAATAGTAAATCATCAAATTACCTCTTTCTCTCTTTCTTTTTTACCTTTGGGTTGATTGGTACTCATTTGGCCCATTACCATGCACTAATATCCAGCCTTCACCTCAAATATTATAAAAACTAAGCCATTAAAACTAGTCATAATTGATAGCTAACATACATCATATATATATGCCAAGCTCACCTTCTTGAGAGAGAGCATCAAGTGTGTTGGCGGTGGTGGTGTCGGCGGAGAGAAGGTTGCGCCGCTTCATGTCGTGGCCTTCAATGCGTCTTCGTTCGGCTCTAACGGCAGCTTTGATGCCGTATCGCTCCCCAACGGGGAGATCCCAACGAAAAATCTGGGATAGGCTGTTCATCATGTCGTCCAGCTCGTCGTCCTTCATGTCCACCAGTGTGCTCACCGTGAACCCAAGCTCCGCCACCTTCGCCGCCGTGTAGTATCTGACGCCGTAAGCATGGAAAAGCTCCTCTAGCCCACCCAGCAGCTGATCACTCGGTGCTCTCACCGGATGCGCCACCGTGGGCACCGGCGGAGCCATCGTGTACTCCATAAGCGGGGTTCGGGTTCCCGGCGCAGTGGAAAGGACGGTTCGTGGGTCCCACTTGAATAGGGTGGAGGTGAATGCGTCCGGATCCATTATGTTGAGAATAATAAGAGAAAAGTGATGTGAGGTACTGTTTGGATGGAGATAAAAAAAGGTGGCGAGAGTTTTTTAATTTCCTGTGTACTTCAAAACATTGAAGACAGGTGTTTTTCCGAAACTGCCCTTTTCCCCATGATTTTTCCGAGGCTTGTTGGTTTTTGTTTTGGCAGATTATGTTTGGGGTTGGGGTTTGTTCAATGAAGGAATCTTCCATATGTGTCCCGAACAAACTGAACTAGCTAGGTTGGAAAACAATAACCATCCAGACGTTGGCAGCAAAATATATATATATATATATATATGGAATAATATCCGTTTATAAATTTTTTTTTTTTACAAATTACATTAAGTACGACTGGTCGTACATTGCATGATTAAAGTATGACTGATCGTACACTGCATGATTAAAGTATGACCGATCGTACTTAATTTAGTTTGTAAACAAAAATATTTATAAATATAATCTGAGTCTATATATATATATATATATATATATATATATATATATATGATTCGAAAGACATGGGTGTCATATCGTAATATATATTAAACATATGCTGCTACTTCATCTTCTATACCCTTGTTTTTAATTATTTATACATTAATCTTGTTAGGATAATTTGTCAAAAAAATGTAGAATTTCCCTTTATGTGTAATGGATATGATACGCATTTAACAACATAATGTAATAGAATTATCTTAATTCTAATGTACTTACGAACTTAGTGTTATATGTCCTTTGATTTGACGCGCCGTTAATTTTGTTTTCGTGTGGTCGTGTATATATATGTGCTATTCCATATGTGAATTTATTTTGGTAGATACACAATACTTAAACAAGTACAATGAGTGGCTTTTTTTTTAATAGATAAACTGAAAGTATTTTCCCATAACTTACTTTAATCACTTTATCCTCAACGTATTGTATTTTAGGAGGCGTTTGGTTCAAATTATATTTTTATTATTTCATGCATCTGATTTTGATAAATTTAGATGTCCATGTTTGGCAAAAGTTTTTGAAATATTTTTCCATCTAACAGATTTTCCTAACATATGAAGTATGAGTGTAAAATGGGGAATAAATCACTATTTGAAATGACCACTTGTATGATGATATTTGTAATTACATGAGTAAATAAAAATAAGGACAACCTGCATTGAACCAAAATACCCCTAGACCAAAGAAAAAATTCCGTACACTAGACCAAATTTTTTTGTAAAGTGTAAGAGTTAATTTTGTCATTTCTATTCATTTTCTCATCTTTATTTTATTTTTAACCAAATAAAGACTCAAAAAATTTAACTCAATTTTTTTAGTAAAATTTTGGTCAACCAAACAATTTTTTTTATACTTTCATACCAAACTCACTTTTCTACCATAATACTGATAATTGCATTTACCTAATCCTTAGACTAGCTCTTTATTATCACAGGAGAAAAGGTGAAAAACTCATGAGAACGAATGGCTTTCTATTTAAAGACTTTTTTATTATAAGTTAAACAATCCATGGATAAAATTTTAAAGGAAAACACAGTTTAATTTAAAGACGGAAGAATGCAAATAGTTAGATTTGCAAATTGCAAGTGCGTCCCATACCGTCTTCTTTGAATTGCAGAGTAAAGCTCTTGATTTTATGTGAGGATACAATTGAATTCCTATAAAATAATATCGAGTCACAAGCATAAAGATAAAATCCGTACAATTGAAAAAGACAAGGAAACCTATAGACTAAGGAGAAGGAGGTAGGTAGGTTGCAGAGCATCCATGAAGCATTAATTACTTTCCGATGTTACAAGATCAGAGGTTTTTAGGTCTTTACGAAGCAGATATGATCATAAGAAAACAGATCGGTGTAAACATATATATTATGTACATGTTACTTTATATTTATATAATTTTTATTATTTATTTATAGATAGTTTAATATATTTTTACTTACTTACATTTTTTTTGAAAATATACATACTTACATTTTAATTTTATTACGTTTAATTATGTAAGTTATGAAAATGCGCATATTCAACATTTTAAAGAGTTTCGGGTATTATTTTTGAATAAAAATACAACATATATATATATATATATATTTTTTTATATTTTACAAATGAGATGTTTAAAGAAAGGATAAGTTAATTAAAAATAATACATGCATCTTATATTTTTAATTAAAAGTAATATCACTAGTATATATATTAAATTTTATCCTAATTAATATTTGAGTCCATATTTTTTATGTAAAGGAGAATAATTTTTTAATTTTTATAAAGGCTGGCCTAATCTTCTATACACATTATGTAAATTTTTTTTATAAATTACTATTGAATTATTGACTTTACGGTGCGAAAATCGACCTAGTTTGAGTAAAAGTTAAAATTGTAAAATTTATATATATTTTTAATTAGAGTATTATTTTGTTAGTTTTTTAACAAACTTTTGTTATTAAATAATTATTTAAAGGATTAAAATAACATTGTATTAGTCATTTACAGATCTAACACGTTATTTTATGTATTTGAAGAGATTAAAATAATAATATATCCACCAAAAAATAATAATAATAATATAAATAAATATATTTCATAACTATTTTGTTATATAACTAATTTAATAATAAAATTTTATGAATTATATGATAATACATATTTTTTAAAAGATTAATTTAATGAAAAGAACTAATAGAATAAAATAACGACGTCCTACTTTAAGGGGAAAAAAACAAAGTTTACTCAAATTAAAATGATGTAGATCAGATTGAGTATTTAATTGAGTATGTAATGTAAAACAGTGATGCAGGTGAAGTACAGAAACTCTGTTACCAAAAAAAAAGTACAAAAACTCAGAAAGAATCATGTTTGGCCTTAAGCTCTGTGAAAAGCCTGTTTTGTGTACTTGTGAGGATCCCCTACTCCCAACACACACATCCATCACATTCACTATCTCGGCTCCTTCTAACTCTGTTGTCATTATTGTTCCGGCCATTGCATTTTCTCTTTCGTTTAAATAATGCAGTTCCCTGGTTAAACAAAGGAAAAAACTATTCTGATATTATGAGATAAGTTTTCTTTTTTACACACCATTCAATAATTATGTCACTTTTTTTATGTGAAGGAGTTCATAAATTTATCACTATGACATGAGATAACATGAAATTAATAAAATTATTTAAACAAAACAAAATATGTGTATGGAAAGACCATGGTTTTTTTTATATAATATATAATGGGATATAGTTTTCTTATGCCGTAGAATATAAATATTAATAGATGGGATCCACTTTTAGGGGAGAAAAAGAAAAAGTAAAATGAAACTCATCTTGAATTTATGTGTATAAAAAATAAATTCTATCTTATATAACATAAGAATAATAAATCTCTATATAATAGTAAGAATTAAACACGTATCTTAAGACCACTAAATAAATCATAGTGACTTAAAAAAATTGAGTATACAAGGTATAATAAAATTCAATGGTTTAAGATTTGAAAAAAATTCCAAAATGTGATATACTAAGTGATTTGTAATTTGCACATTGTATTTGTCTCCTCAATCTTTAAATAAAAACTTCATTAAAATTAAGCATAAGATATTAAAATAAAAAAATAAACATGCCCAATTAATATCCATGCTTTAAAACTCAAGAGGTGCTTCCGCATGAGGAGTTGCTAAGAGGTATAATAACATTATTTATATGCTTCCAAAGAGTTAAATTTTTAGAAAAGTTGATTGTATAATGAAATCACATATTTTACTTGACAATGACATTAAAAATGGCGTACAATATCTAAATTTACTCTACTTGATTTTCCGTAAATCAAATTATCAATTAAAAACATGTTCGGTAAAATTAGAAAAATCAAACAGACAAAAGAGAAATTATATACATGCTTTGAATCAAAATATTATCCTTACTCTGGCTATCTTCTTGCTTAGGCGGGTTGAGTACTTGAGCTGTGAGATATTCGGTTGAGGGAGAGATTGTTGAGATATTCAAGTGTGATGAGTCCTGTAAGAACCCGCACCGTTAATTAAGAAATTTAATTAATAAATTATGAGAAAATAGGAAATGATTCCCTAATTGACCCTAATAATTATTATGAGGCTTTAATAATTATAGTAAGTGAGTAATAATGCTGAAGTCGCTTTTCGGAAGAAAAGTGCAGATACCGGTTCTGCTAGTCGGTATAAATGCATGCCGAAAAAGTATCCCATAAAATTATAATAAGTGCATGATAATTACTAGAATGATATGTAGGACTTGTAAAACGAGTTTCAAGTCCAGATAATGAGAACTGGTGCCAGAAACTAATACTGGCTATGGAAAGCGCGTACCAGAAAGGTGCTGGGAAAAATAAAATAAAAATATGATAAATCTTGTAAAATTGAGTAGGTTCAGAACCCTAAGTTTGGGATTAAAATGCTAAGCGTAGCTATTTATGATAATACTGTGTGTTAGTGACTTAACCGCCTATATATAGTGCTTGGCACAAAACCCTAGGCTGATACTCAACCATTTTTACGTGATTGGCTGCTGGTGGTTGCTACCCTTTGCCTTCCACCATTTCTTGACCTTCCTTGTAGCTTTTCTTCACTTTTCCTTCACCAATCATCCTTGTGTGAGTGAGATAAAGCCTTGGGATTGGGTGTGAGACCTTCTTGCTGAGTTGGAGTTGCTGTGTGAGGGGTGGTAATTGCTGCCTCTGAGTTTGTTGAGGGTGTGAACCTTTGGCTTGGCATTTGTGGTACCAAGAAGCCATCTTTGGTGCTAAGAACCAACCTTTGGTGTGCCATTTTCGTTTCCTTGTGTGTGCTGGACTTTGGGAGCTTCAAGTGAGCTCCAAGAGCATCATCATTTTCTGTTTTAAGCTTGGGTAAGTTGTTGAACCCATGATCTTGAGTTTTTATGCTTAAAAGTGGAACCTTGATGCATGTAATGGATTAAAGTTGATAACTTAATGTTGGGTAATGTTAAACACGCCTTAAATCGCATGTTTAA